GCAGGAGGTGGGGTGCTAGGGGAGGGATGGCATTAGGAGATATACCTAATGTAGATGATGAGTTGATGGGTGCAGCAAACCACCATGACACATGTATACCTATGTGACAAATCTCACATTCTGCACATGTATCCCAGAACTTAAAGTATAATAAAAATATGTCTGGGCTGGGCTCAATGCCTGTAATCCCAGCACTTTGGGAGGCTCAGGAGGGCAGATCAAGAGGTCAGGAAATCAAGACCATCCTGGGCAACATGGTGAAACCCTATCTCTAATAAAAATACAAAAATTAGCTGGGTGTAATGGCATGCGCCTGTGATCCCCACTATTCGGGAGGCTGAGGCAGGAGAATTGCTTGAATCAGGGAGTCGGAGGTTTCAGTGAGCCAAGATTGTACCACTGCACTCCAGCCTGGCAACAGAGCAAGACTTGATCTCAAAAAAAAAATTTACTATATATGTGTATTTCAAAGAGCACTAAGGTATGAAATGGTATAAAATGTAAGCTTGGAGAGATTTTAAGGACAAATAAGACACTGAGTTTTAGGTAGGTTAAAGTCTTGCTCTAAATTTTATAACCCTTAATGACAAAGCTTGTAGGGAAACTAAGGTTTCCCAGCTGACTGTTCTTCTCAGGACTCTGTCATGAAAAGTAGTATTAGGGTGTCTATGTGGTGACATGCCAAACAATAGCTATATAGCAAACATTATGATTTAAGTAAACAATTTTTTCAAGAGGATTACAGTCTCCTGCTCCATCCATCTTCCTATGAAAGACATACTCTTGTTCTTTTCTATGGCTACCTAGTATTTCATGACATATACATACCACATTTCCTTTATCCAATCTGTCACTGATGGGCATTTAGGTTGATTCCTTGTCTTTGCTATTTTGCACAGTGCTGGAGTAAACATTCACGTGCACGTGTCTTTTTGGCAGAATGATTTGGGAACAGAAACCAAATACCACATATTCTCACAGATAACTGGGAGCCAAATCATGAGAACTTAACACAAAGAAATGAGAGACACTAGGATCCATTTGAGGGTGAAGGGAAGAAGGAGGGAGAGGAAGAGAAAAGATAACTATTGGTTACTGGGCTTAATACCTGGGTCATGAAATAATCTGTACAACAAAGTCCCATGACATGAGTTTACCTATGTGACAAACTTTCACATGTCCCCTACAAACATAAAATTAAAATTTTTTTTTCAAGAGAAATCTTTTATAGGTGCTGGTAACATTTGAAGATTGGTCATTCATAGTTGCTGTCTGATAGATTTTCTGTCTTTGCATGTCTTCTAGATAAAGGGGAAGATTCTACATGAGAGGATTTAGTAGACTTGGCCCACGGTCCTAAATATATTAATATACAGGTCTTTTATTCATGCTTAAGATTTCTTTGTTTCTCTGACTGGATGTTCCCTGTTAAAAGTAAGGCTTTGGACCATCTTAATAAGATTAATTTTTTTAAAATTTTCCAAAAATTAACTGATTTTTATAAAAACATACAGTACATGTTTTACCTGTATGAATGCTTTTAATTTTATATTTTTATCAGATATTAAATGTTCAGTATTGAAGAAATTATGCAACTCACTAAATAAGCACTTAAAAAATCCAATCCAACAGTTAACTGATTGGAGAATAGAAAAAGTTAATCTTATTAAAATGTTCCAAAGCCTTAACTCAGATTAAAGTTTCCACTTATTCTTTAATTACTGACTTGTTGCAAAAAATATTCAAATCCCCCTACTTCCAGTAATATCTATTTTAATCCATTTTAGACGTTCCTCTCAGATAGATGCTTCTAAGCTGTAGTTCTTACCCAATTATGCTCTTGTTTAATTTGCAGTGGTTTGTCATTGTCTGTTACAGTAATTCTAAGTAGGAGTGAACATATTTAAGTAAAGATACAAGATGATACACTAAGAGATGGGAATAATATATTACAACTTTATTTGCATTTTCATGATATTTGAGTATATATTTTATAAACGAGTGAAAAAATAGAAAGATGTCGAGTGAGATCTTTTTCTAGTAAAGGTGCATGATTATTAACTCTTGGAATCACTAGTATATAGAGCGAAATTATAATTAGTTAGCCAGACATTCATTTACTCTGCAACCTTCCACCTAACCATCGCTTTCGGGCTACATCTATATTCAGTCTCTATTAGAGTCAAACTGAGGTGCCACAGAAATTTCCTACTTCCCCTAAGTGTTTATTCCCTCTGTCTGGAATGCTTCCCTTCATCCTTTTATGCTAAAATCTTAACTATTTTTCAAACTCTAGGTCAGATGCTATTTCCTTTATGAATATTTTTGTAGTTAGAATAGTGTCGATTGTAAGTAGCAGAGAGCCACTCAAATTGGTATAATTAATAAAGGAAATGTATAGGTTTATGACACAGGAAAGTTAAGATAAAGGAAAAGGTTCATGTATAATTTCATGAGGAGCCAGATTCATTTATATACAATTCCCTTGTCTCTTTATTCCTTCATGTGATCTCTTTCCTTGGTTGATTTCCTTTAGGATTACACAACGTTGGAGTAATTCAAAGTCTTACATTAATATCCCACATTACACAGAACAAGAAAAAGAAAGCATCTCCCCACCCTTTCCATGTACTCACCTCCAATTCAGTAAAAGTTCTCGGCTTCATACTGAAATAGCTTAGGTGACATTCTCACTCATATGGCCTGAGAAATGCTCATTGGATTAGATTACATGATTAGAGCTTACCTCTGAGCTATGTTGAACAGGGTCCTCCCTTGGAGTGCGCAGGTCATCAATTTCGTGGCTGTTTGTAATTGATTAAAAAAAAATTGCTGGGGAGGCAAACCACAATATCTACTATAAGCCTTAAGTTGTTTACTAGCTAAAAGAAGACTCTTCATCTCCTCGATACTATGATATGCCATTTATAGGCTTTTTAAAAATCACTTGTTTTTCTTGTGTTATAGCCATTTTCTTTCATATTTGCCAGGTTTTAAGTGGCTTGAGGAGCAAGTACCCATATTTGGTTTATACTTTTATTCAACTTTCCACTCTGTGGCATCGAACACAATGCATTGTGAAATTAGAATATATGAATAAATAAATGCACAAATAAATAAGGGAATAAACGCATGATAGAATTATTGTATGAAATTATTTCTCTTGAAATATAGTTTCTTTTTTGTTAGAAGATTTCAAACAAAACAGCAGAAAATGTTCAGCTATGGCAAGAACTCATGCATTAGAGAAGTGATGGTTACAATACATTACAAGACAACTTGTATTTTAACAATTCACTTATTTCTTGAATATTTGATCCTTTGACATGAGTGGTGTTTTTTAAATAGCTTTTTATTAACTACATATCTTTTGTCATCTGCAGTTATTTCATGGAAAAATGTTATTTGCCTAGAAATTAAAAAGAAAAGTACAATGTGGTTGTAATGGCACATTAACCTGCCAAATGTTATTCTTTTGTATGGGAAGAAATTAGACCTTGGACAGTTACTACTTTTATTTAAACGAATAAAAGTAACAACACTATTACTAGATAAATTAATTGCACCTCCTTTGAAAAGATAATTTCTTCTCATCAGAACGTTAATTAAATGAATAAAATGTATATAATTTTTATGCTCACATATTCATTTTAGATGAAGGTTTTATTTTGCCTACTATATTAAGTTATAGATAATGAAAAGTATTTTTGCATCACTTTATCTTTGTTAGAAGAAATCTTTCCCCCAGTAATGTATCACTGAAGCATTCGATGCACACTGATCTCCAAACTCATATATACTATGGTTTATTGGAATAATCTATCTGCATAGGTGCCTCATGGTAAAAAACTGAACCCATGATCTGCTCCTCTCAAACCAGTTTCTCCTCTAATGTTAACCATCTTGGCAATTGTGTTAAATTGTACTTGGATTTCTATACCAGAATACCTGACCTTGCAAAATTAATAAAGAAAAGAGGCTTAATTGGATCACATTCTCAGGCCTTATAGGAAGCATACTGCTGCTGTCTGCTGGGCTTCTGGGAAGCTTCAGGAAGCTTACAATACTGACAGAAAGCAAAGGGGGAGCAAGCATGTCACATGGTGAAAGCAGAAGCAAGATAGAGAGGGGAGGTGTCACACACTTAAAAAATGACTGAATCTAATGAGAACTCACTCACTACTGTTAGAGGACAGTACCAAGGGGACAGTGCTAAACCATTCATGAAAAATGCACCCTTGTGGTCCAGTCACTTCCTTCCAGACCCCACCTTCCACACTGGGGCTTACATTCAACATGATATTTGGGTCAGGACAACATCCACACTGTGTCAGCAAATGATTTTTTAATTCACTGAGTTGCTCTTTTTAGAAACCTGGGAGCCATCCTTAACAATCCTTCTACCTTACTCCTCACATCCACTTCATTATTAAATCTTGCCAATTTGACTTCCCATATGTGCAAAATGTGTCTGAATGTGTTTATGCCTCTCAAACTATATTGCTACTACTTGAAGCTACCATGATAAATTGCCTAGACTTAGACAAACAGCCTCTAAACTGGTTTTCCTGTTTCTAATCTTGTGTTTCTCCATTCCAGTACTCACACTTTCACTATATTGTTAAAAGAAAAAAAAATAAACCCTTGTTATAGGCCTTTAATATCTTTCCATTGCTCTGTGGATAAATGTATACATTCTCCAGAATTCAGATAATATGGTTCCTGGCTGTGTCTCCATCCTTATGGCTATGGTTTAGATATTTGACTTCCCCAAACTTCATGTTGAAAGTTAATCCCCTGTTGCATGTGAAGCCTAATGGGAGGAGTTGGAGTCATGAGGGCAGATCCCTTGTAAATGGCTTGATGTGGTCCTCATGGTAATGAGTAAGTCCTCACTCTACTAGTTCCCATGAGAGTTGGTTGTTAAAAAGGGCCAGAAACCTCCTCTCTGTCTCTCTCACATTGTTTTTTTTTTTTTTTGCCTCATAATCTCTCTACAGATCGGCTCCTTTTTGCCACCATGAATGGAAGCAGCCTGTGGTCCTCACCAGATGCAGATGCCCGTGCCACACATGTACCAAATAAAACTTTTTATCCATGAGCCAAATAAAACTTAAAAAAAAAAAAAAACAAACTAGCCTTATGTGTTCCTTTGTAGCAACAAACAAGTGAAGACACTCACCTTTCACTTATCATCTCCCTCTCTTGCTCACTTTGCTCCATTCACACCAACCTTTTCTATCCCTAAAATGTACTAAGATCTGTTGTCCTCACAACCCTTGCTTTTACTGCTTTCTGGATGTGAGATATTCTTTTCACCTCTAATATAAACATACATACTTTCTCCCTTTCTCCTCTCTCTCTCTTGGTAATTGGGTCTCCGTCCCACAGGCTGGAGTGCAGTGGTGCAATCAGAACTCACTGCAGCCTTCACCTCCTGGGTTCAAGTGATCTTCCCACTTCAGCCTCCCAAGTAGCTGGGACTACAGGCTCACACCACTATGACTGGCTAATATTTTTATCTTTTCTTTTTTTTTTTTTTTGTAGAGAGAGGTTTTCTCCATGTTGCCCAGGCTCACCTGCTCTCCTTTCTGATTTAGCTAACTCCTACTCATCCTTCAATTATTAAATATTAGTTTAATTTGTCAGAGCATTATTCCCAGAATCTCTTGCCAGATTAAGCTATCTCCTCCTGCTATAAACCCTATCTCTACTTTTGCTTAGCAATATGTGTAACAACCATATTAAGTAGTTGTTTGAGCAATTGTTTGTTAATTATCTGTCTTCTCTATTACTCTATCTACAGTGAGGGTAGGCACTGCGTTTTTTTTGTTCATCATTCTTACCTGACTGCCTAACCTAATGCTTAACATTTACTATACACTCAATAAATGTATATTAAATAAGTGAATCATAAAAAGCGTTACAGAAGAATAAGATTTACTGAATTATTCTGTTTGTCAAAGGTAGCTCATAAACAAAGAAAGACAAGATGTAGCCACCTCAAAAGGTAGCTCATAAACAAAGAAAGACAAGATGTAGCCACCTCAGAAGGGAGAATATGAGGCAACAAGCCAAAGCAAAAGTGTTGTTCACTTAATTTTTTAAAACATGACCCATAAATAACGCCTCTTCTCTTATATCTTCCAGGTACTGACTTCCATCTTGACTGTGTCAGTTTCATGAACCAACATTATTCTTCCCTAGTCTTAGTCTCTTTCCAAATTTTTCTCCATTTCCTGTCAGTCGTGAATTTTGATTATATTTTTCTTTGTGATATTGTTAAATAATTTTCCTCTTAATCCCACAGGCACTGCTGCATTGCACGGCACAATTATCTTAGTCTTCTACAAAGTCTTCTGATACGTCTTTCTACCCCAAACTCGTATAGCACTCTTAATGCCAGATTAATCTTCGTAAAGCAATTCTTTAATTATGTCACTCATAGTTCAAAAGTTTTCATTTACTCTTTGTCATTCTATAAAACAAATCTAGGCATTTTACTTTAGCATTCATGGCCTTTATCTTTATTATTCTCTTGTTTCGAATGTAAATTTTCTGTCTCAGTGAAACCAGTTCATATATACCTACCTCTGATACGTATTTTCCAACTGTGTGTGCTGATAAAAAAATCTCTTCTTTCTCTTAATTTTTTTCTCATCTATATTCTGGGCTATCGCTTGATACTATATATTATTTCTATCATTTATTTTTATCTTAATGTGTGTAAGCTGAACCCCAAACTTAATTGCTAATAACTTGAGAACTTCACTGTGTAGTTCCCGCATCTGGGATAGTACCTAGTAAACTAATTGCAGTTTTTTTGTAACTGACTATAGTGCCATCATTTTGAATAGTATGTAATACTAAATGTAACTCAAAAAATATTTATTGTTGATGATGATGGATACTATATAAAGGAGAGAAATTGAGCAAAATACATCGAAAATTTTGAGGGATTCTAAGAATGTAGAATATCTTTAAGGGTGAAGATAACTGAATTCACTTGAGATTCTTAATGGTTGATCAGGATGTCTAGCAGTATATCAGCTTTAGCTGAATTGTTCCCTGATGCAAATGAAGATGAGGGAAGAACATTTCAATGGATAAACTGACCAAAGTTTCAGAGAGTGGAAATATATGTGTACAGAAGATTTGCTAATTTAACAATAGAGGAAATTGCTCACACCATGTGGGGAGCATTAGATGACTATTCCTTTGGTAGGCATAAAGTGAAACTGTGCTTATGTAGAAAAAAATCTTTTTGAAGGGATGTTTTAAAATAATTTTTCTGGCTGAGCACAGTGGTTCACACCTGTAATCCCAGCACCTTGGAAGGCTGAGGTGGGAGGATCACCTGAAGTCAGGCGTTTGAGACCAGCATGACCAACATGATGAAATCTCATCTCTACTAAAAGTACAAAAATTAGCCAGGTGTGGCAGCGCACACTTGCAAATACAGCTACTTGGGAGGCTGAGACAGCTTGAACCCAGGAAGCAGAGGTTGCAGTGAGCCGAGTAGTGTCATTGCACTCCAGCCTGGAGAATAGAGCAAGACTCTGTTGCAAAAAAAAAAAAAAAAAGAATTTCTCATTCAGTAGGAACCTTACATTTTGAGAAGGTTTAAAAATATTGGTCAACATGTACACGAATGTTCATTGCAGCACTGTTTACAATAGCAAAGACCTGGAATCAACCCAAATGCCCATTGATAATAGACTGGATTGGAAAAATGTGGCACATATACACCATGGAATATTATGCAGCAATCAGAAATGATGAGTTCGTGTCGTTTGTAGGGACATGGATGAATCTGGAAAACATCATCCTCAGCAAACTGACACAAGAACAGAAAATGAAACACCGCATATTCTCACTCATAGGTGGGTGATGAAAAATGAGAACACATGGACACAGAAAGGGGAGTACTAAACACTGGGGTCTATTGGGGGAAAAGGGGAGGGCCAGTGGGAGGGGGAGGTGGGGAGGGATAGCCTGGGGAGAAATGCCAAATGTGGGTGAAGGGGAGAAGAAAAGCAAAGCACACTGCCATGTGTGTACCTACGCAACTGTCTTGCATGCTCTGCTCATGTACCCCAAAACCTATAATCCAATAAAAAATTAAAAAAAAAAAAATATTGGTCAAAAGAAGAAAAGAATTACAGTATTTGAAGGCATTTAGCAAAACAAGTAAATAAAACTACACAAACTTAAGAACAACAGGAACCAACTTTTCATGTCTAACATATCAGATTGTTTTTCATTTGGCTGAATAGATGAATAAACTATTTCTTTATATATTTGTAATATAAATATTGTCAGTGTTTACATCTAACCTATTAATCATGTAATTTGGAATTATTTTTTTTCTTGGGATGTTGGTATCTGATTCATGTTGAACTGTAAAAAATTTAAAGAAGTGAAAATCCATGAAATTCAATACTTATAATAACAAATTCTTAAATCTGGGAATGTAAAGAGTCTGTAGAGTAAATAATTGTGAAAGTAGGTTATTTTCTGTTTAACAGAAGTGTAGCACACAAGGCAATACAAACCGGTTTCTTAATAATAAACAAATATCTTACTCTACTTTTAGAGGAGAATCTGCTAGTCTCCATATCTTGGCTCCTGTAGTATAATTTATTACACATCCTTTACATGTTATCATGTTAATGTGAGATGCTCGACTATTAACTACACACTAAATAAACTTTGTTGTGTTTTCTAATTGCTTTCTCAGTTTTTTGTTTTTATTTTGATTTGCTTTGATTTTGACTCAAGTTACTTAAAATCTCTCAGAAACTTTTGTTGCAGAACATATTAAGTAATGAATGAGTGAATTATTGAAGATAGGCAAGTAGGTCATTTTATTTTGTTTTTTTAAGTGCGAGCTTGGAGGATTCCAAGGCATTCAAATAATTATGCTGGCTGCTTTTCCACAGACATAAAGTAGCTAAGATAGCTACCAATAAAAGCATTCACATCTTCTTAATATCTCTTCACTTTCATCTGTGATTACCAATGAATCTATAATTTATTTATATTTTTTAAAATTAGTATCCTTTCTAATTTCTCATGCTGTGGTTATAAAAATGGTTAAAACTGAAGAGAAAAAAGCAGAGTAGCAAGGTACATGAACTCATAATAGTCTTTTTCCCAAATTCAGCATGTTTTCCATAGTGACCTGGTGACCTCTTCAATTTTTCATATTGGAGCACAAAATAGTGTTGTTGTAACATCATTATGTCTATAAGGGGACATTGTATATTTGACTGAAGTTATATGAAATCAAGTCATCACATCCTATCAGCTGAAAAGGTGACAAAGTAATAGGTCATTGGGACAATCTACGACTTCCGTGGCAGACAAATTAAGTCTTTCATTGTCATCTACCTCTAAGTGTAAGGATGCCGGAAGGTAGGAAGAAGGCGTAATTTCACCTTATGTCACAAACACTCATTGCTAGCTGAGTAATGTATTTTCTTCAAGTTGATTTTAGGAACTCTGGAAAACAGTGGAGATGTACATTACATTTTTAGTGGCCTTGTTGATAGTTCTATGGTCTGACAGGTTGAACACATTGAATGCCCATTTAAAAGGAACTAATGGTCCTAGAAAGATGGATCACTGTTTCTGGCTGAAATTACATTTTAATGGAATTTCAACAAAAACAATATACATTTTAATAAGTTTCACAAAATGGCAACATTTTCAAAATGCAAAAGAAATAGCAAGAATGATGATAGTATTTAACTCAGCATATGAAACATGGAAGTTCTGGAATAAGGTGACAAGATACAGAAAGTACAAGTGGTTCCTGTCTTTAACGTTATAGTAATAATGGAGGTGGTTTAAAGATTTATAGTTAGAGTCTTGGAAACATGGAATCTACACTATGAAAAAGGTTACCCTATTCCTTGGGTGATAGTGGTAGAGAAGAAGGTAGGAATTTCAGACCGTGAAGTAGGAGAGAGATGACTGCATATGTATTACCAAGGAACACAGATTTCCGGTCTGAGAGTAATGCTTGATATATTCTATTCCCGCTGTGTTATCCCCCTTATCTCTACATATGTCTAGATTAGGAGTTGGCAAGCATTGTTTAGGAAGGAACAGATAGTAAACCTTTTAAGCTTTCTGGGCCAAATAGTCTCTGTTGTAATTATTTAACTCTGCCACTGCAGCCTTAGACAATATGGCATCAAATGCATATGGCTGTCTTTCAACATGACTTTACTTTCAAAAGCAGGTTTTATTTGACCTGCAGACTCCTGTTTGCTGCCATGTTGTCAAGATTCCTAACAAGATCTTACCAAGTCAGATCTTGCCTGGACTATGGAATTAGCTTCCTTCCTATCTATGAAACATATCTTTCTATCTTCATTAGATATTCAATAATTTTATATAATATCTAATGAATACCAGGTACAATCACGTCTTGTGGATACGGTGACAAAAGAAGATGGCTTTTCCCTTAGGAGTTTTTGTCTATGACACAGGCGATGAATAAAGAAGTGAGTAAATAAGTTAATGATAAATCATTTAAACTGTATAAAGGAATTAAATAACATAATGTAAAAGAGGGTCACAGAGATAGGAGCACACCTTTAAATAGGGCGGTCAAGGACTGATTTCTAAAGAAAGTGACATTTAAGCTGAAACCTGAAGGATGAAAAATAAGCCATATTACAAGCCAGGGGAAGAACACTTCAGGAAAGGGTTCTGTTTCTCCGAGAACCCTAACTAGTAGTACATTATTCTCTTAACCAAATGTTAAGCACATAGCAGTATTGTTAACTATAAGCAAGCTGTTGTACAGCAGATTTCTGGCACTTACTAATTTTTCCTAAATGAAACTCTATGCTTGTTGATGAGTAACTCCCAATTTCCCCTTCTCCCAGCCTCTGAAAACCATCATTCCACTTTTTACTTGATAAATTTGATGATTTTAGGTACTCATGTAAGTGGAATACTGCACCATTTGTCCTTCTGAGACTGGTTTATTTAACTTAGTATAATGCCATTGAGGTTTATCCATATTATTGCATATTGCAGAATTTCCTTCTTTTTAAAGGCTGAATAACATCCATTACATGTATATATAAGTTTTCTTTGTCTTTTCATCTGTTAAGGGGGATTTAGGTTGCTTCCACATCTTGCCTCTTGTGAATAGTGCTGCAGTGAACATGGGAGTATAAATATATCTTTGAGATCTTGATTTCAATTCTTTTGGATAAATACCCATAAGTGGGATTGCAGATCATATGGTGATACTATTTTTAATTTTTGAGAAAACTCCATACTGTTTCCATAATGGCTGCCTGAGTTTGTGTTCCCATCAACAGTGTACAAGGGTTCTGATTTCTCCAAATCCTCACCAACACTTTTATTTATTTATTTTTGATAATAGACATTCTGACAGATATGAGATGATACCTCATTGTGGTTTATATTTTCATTTCTCTGATGATTAGTGACATTGAGCATCTTTTCATCTACCTGTTAGGCATGTGTGTGTCTCTTTAAAGGAAATTTCTATTCAAGTCTTAATCCCATTTTTCAATCAGGTTTTTCTGCTATTGGGTTGTAGAAATTACTTACACATTTCAGATAGTAACCCCTCATCAGATACATAGTTTGCAAATATTTTCTCCCATTTTATAGATTGTCTTTTCATTCTATTAAATGTATCCTTTGATGTGCAGAAGATTTTTGTTCAATGTAGTCCCACCTGTCTGTTTTTGCCTGTGCTTTTGGTGCCATATTCATGAAATCATTGCCAAGATTAACGTCGTGAAGGTTTTCCCCTATATTATCATCAAAAAATTTTACAGTCTCAGATCTTATGTGTAAGTTTTTAAACCACCGTGAGTTGCTTTTGTGTATGGTATAAGATATTGTTCAAATTTCATTCTTTTCTATGCAAATATCCAGTTTTCCTAATATCATTTATTGAAGAGACTATGCTTTCCCCATTGTGTATACCTGGCACTATTGTTGAAAACTGTATATTTATAGATTTATTTTTGAGTTCTGTATCTCTTCCATTTGGCTTACATAGCTGTCTTTATGCCAGCACCACACTGTTTTCTTACTGTAGCATTGTAATACATTTTGAGATCATGATGTGTGATGCCTCCAGCCTTGCTCTTCTTTCTCAAAATTGATTTGGCTCTTTGGGGTCTTTTGTGTTTTTTATGAAATTTAGAGTGTCTTTTTTCATTTCTGTAAAAATACTATTGGGATTTTCATGGCAATTACATTGAATCTGTAGATTACTTTGGGCTGTATGAACATTTTAACAATATTAATTATTCCAATATATGAACACAAAATATATTTTCATTTGTTTGTGTCTTCTTTAACGTTATTCATCAATATATTGTAGTCTTCGGTGTGTATAAGTCTTTCATTGCCTTAGTTAAGTTTATTCCTAAGTATTTTTTCTTTTTATGCTATTGTAAATGGAATTGCTTTCTGAATTTTCTTTTCAGATAATTTTTTTTACACGTAGATGTATAACTAATTTTTATATATTTATTTCAAAAATAATAGAGATGGGAGTCTATCTATGTTGCCCAGGCTGGACTTAAACTCCTGGGCTCAAGTCATCCTTCCCACTCAGCCTCCTGAGTAGCTGGGACTACAGTATATGTTGATTTTGTATCCTACAGCTTTACTAAATTTGTTTATTAGTTCTAACAGTTTTTTTTTTTTTTTTTTTTGGTTGAGTCTCTAGAGTTTTCTAGGTGTAAGATTATGTCATATGCAAATGGGGAACATTTTACTTCTTTTCCGATTTGGATGCCTTTTACTTCTTTTTCTTGCCCAATTGCAGGAAAGTCTACCTAAGGTGTCTAGTACTATGTTGAGTAGAAGTAACAGAGTGGACGTTCTTACTTTGTTCCTGATCTTTGATCTTAAAACAACTTTCA